AATGTAAGTAAGTAAGTAAGTAAGTAAGTAAGTAAGTAAGTAAGTAAGTGTTTTCCCTATCCAGTTATAACTGTCTCTACAGGGCAGTACTCATCTCCGTTTTTTAACTAAGGAGCCAACATTGTCCAAAAACATTTCCTGATCATGTGATCAGCATGACTACCTGCTGAAACCCACGGAATGCTATTACTATCCAACCACAGTGGTAACTATTTATCTACTTGCATTTGCACTTGCATTTGCATTTAAATTCAGGCAATTCACTCGCCTTGTGCTTCCAGCTGACAAGCTCAACAATCTTTAATGACTGAGCTATCGCGGATGAGAAATATACTTATGTTTCAGTTGAATGAAAACAACTTACCCTAGATAATTGACTCATTTTTATATTTCCAAATGTCAGAGCACCCCCACTGTAGACACAAAGGACTACTCAGAGAATATGGGAAATGAGCAGAATGTTTTAACTAGTATAACTAACATATAATTATTTGAATTCTAGATCAAATATGTGCATATTCATAATTTCTCTTGCATCAAGCTCTTGACTCAGATTCAACTGCCTTCCATTACTGGGAAATCAAAATTCTTGGAAAATGTAAAGTTACAACATAAAGTTGCTAAAGTTAAAAAATACTGCTCTAAATCTGTGAATTTCAAGATATATTAATACCAGTCAGTTTGGTGCATAGCAAGGAATGTGTAATAATATCTGAAACATTTTGGGGATAGTGCAATGCTCCAACTCAAGAGTGTCCAACTGTGGCAACTTTAAGACTTCTGGACTTCAACTCCCAGAATTCCCCAGCCAGCACAGGTTAAGTGTTGTACTAGGAATGGGGAGACTTGGGCTCTACTTCGCCTTTAGCCATAGGACTCAGAGGATGACTATGAGCCAAGCACTTTTTTCCGTCTAACCCAGCAGTCTCCAACCTTTTCAGCTTGACAACCTGGCGGTGTATGTGTGTGTGTCATGGGAGTGACAGCTGCATGCACTCACCTAGCTCCATTTCTGAGAGCGTTGGGTGCACACACACCTTCCAGTTGCATGAATGGAGTTTCGTGCACAAGCGAAGGTTGCTTGTGCTCACAAAGCTCCACTTGTGCGAGTGGAGGGTACTCGTGCATACCAAGCTCCATTCACGTGAACGGAGGTTTGTGGGTTTGTGTGTGCAAGCACCCTCCACTCACATGAGTGAAACTTCACATACATGCCTTGGCCATCTGTCCCACAGCCCAATTTTGAACAGGCTACAGCCTGATCATCGGCCCCGGCCCTTGGGTTGGGGACCCCTGTTCCAACCAATTCACAAAGTTTCTGCAAGAGAAGGAAGCACTACGTACATCACCTGAAGACAATGTGAGATATAAATCAAATAAACAAATGCATTCAAACTCTTCATTGAAGGTTAACATTTTAACACCCCCACCCTCCCACCCTGGTTTGATGCTCTCTAGATATAATAACCTTCATCTATAGATAGATGACGTAGCCAGATAGACTAGGGATTATGCAACTTGAAGTTCCACAAATCTGTATTTTGGAAGGATCACAAGCATTTTTCCCCCCTGCTTTTGGCTTTATTCTTTCTCTAAAAGGGAATAGAATTGATCAAACATGATAACATGACTGTGGGGTAACTTTTCTCCCTAATTAATATTAAATGAACATTGTGGCGCGTTATTAAGTCTTGAAACTATTAGCCTAGAAACTGATTGGCATGATTGAAGCCACCAAGCAGTTTAAAACTCCTCTGGTATTTTCTGGCCACTGTGGTTTCTCATCGTTAGCTGCCAGAGGCATTGCTAAACTGATGGCAAAGATAGACATTCTGATTCTCCACCTTCCCCATATATTCCATAATGTTGTTCTTCATCTTTTACACTATATAGCATGAATATCATGCCCTCCTTTAGTTTCTGAATATGGATTTGTGGACAGGGTGATTAAAAAGCGGCTTTTTTGCATGCAGCATACACCCTTCTTAAGGGTGCTGATCTTCTCAGTGGTTGTTTTTTTTTCTAGAAAAGCTACAACTCGATCATAAAACGTACTGCATTTTTTTTAAAAAAAAATCACCCTTGATAGTGAACAAAACAAAAGTTTTGGTGACAGTGTGTTTAGACAACCAAGACAGAATCAGCTTAGCTCAGGAAAATTACAGGGGCCTGACACAGAAACATTTCCACCAACCTTTGTGGTAGTTCCCATTTTATATGCAAGGAGGATCAAGCTTGGCTAAAAGTGGAAAGAAAATGAACAGGTGGGAGCACTCTCTCTCTCCTCCCCCCCTCTCTCCCTCCCTCCCTCCCTCAGTATTGTCAGGGGCATCAATATATCCTGACACAGTATTGGCGGGGGGGGGGGGAGTAACCTGCCAGAACAGACCCAGTTTCCAATTCAGCATTCAGAAAGGTGATGAGTTTTGACAGGAGAATGGTTCTATAGTGATAGGGAAGATTACTTGGATGGAGATGGGCTGTAGGAGTAGTTGTCCCCCAGGCAGAGAAGGGGAGAGGAGCAGATCTCCTACTGTGTGCATTTTACTCTAAGTGCTTCCACCATAAGAATGGAACTATGTCATTTCTAATAAAGAGTTGCTTGCAGTAAAATAAAAAATCTGCATGTTTCCATCAAAGTCGTCTTCTTTATTCTCTGCAGGCTGGTAGGAGATGCATTCTAATACGTTTGGAATTCTACTTCTTGGGATTATCTCAAGAATGCAAATGGATGCACTGAAACACACCAGTATGCATTCATGCCAATAAAATAATAAAAAAATATGCAAGGTAGAGATTACCTTATAAGTCTGAAGTGTCTTTTTTTTATGCTGTGCATGCTAATCAAATATTTATCTTAAATTCTAGATCTCCATAAATAAGATGATAGATTTACCAATGTATGGTGAAGATAAAGGTTTATCAAGATGAGAAATACATGGCCCACGTCTTCATAAAAGTAGAAATAGCTGCCTCAGCGATTGTGCAAGTTCTGATAAGAGATACCTGAACTGAAATCTCCAAGGTCAGCCAGGACAGATGTTGGGAGAAAGAGATATGATGACTCTTAAGTATAAACTCAAGGAAATACCTTTGACTATGAACCAGTCAATCCACTTTTTTTGTTTTTTCCAGAGCTGAAGTTGTAGCATCACAAACCCAATTTAATTAGAGATGATATTGTGGCAAGAGATATATACAAAGAAATCACTCTCTTTTACAGTTTTCTTTAAAACTATGATCATAATAACAAAATAAGAAAGTTAGAAGGGACCTTGGAGGTCTTCTACTGAAACCCCCTGCTCAGACAGGAAATGCTATATCATTTCAGACGAACGGTTGTCCAATCTCCTCTTAAAAGTACCTGGGTACTTGAGAGACCGCCTCCTGCCAATTACCTCCCTACGACCAATTAGATCCCACAGATTAGGCCTCCTCCA